CATAATCGGGAGCATTCGGGACTTTTCGGGAGTTTTCGGGACTTTTCGGGATTTTCTCAAAATATGCGAAAATCGGGAAAAATCGGGAATATAAAAACTATATATATTGGTCCTATTTTAGCCCATAAGCCTAACGGTATGTAATTCCCGATGTTTTTATACACTAAATTTATTCGGGAGTTCCCGAAAAATAGAGACTCTATTAATAATAAACAAAACCAAAAGTAATTCATATTACCATTTATATATAATAACATAAATAATTATCATTTGGATAGCGATGTTAATTATGCGCAGAATTTTCATCAAGAAATAATAAGAAATTTAATTTAAATGATTAGCAAAACAAAAAGCATACATACCTTCGCCAAAAGCAAAATAAATGACCGAGTTATTCTCCCTAGGTCCAATGTGGCGATCGTAGGGCCGGTGGCCCTGTAAATGAGCGAGACTGTTGACGAGCCACGTGCAGTGCAGGACATACACGTACCGAAAGCACACACAACCCAGGAATGAAAACCACATTTGTTCGCCCCATACATAGTATGGCACGAGAGTCGGTATTAAACCCCAAATCAGGATTATTAGGGGTACGTAAAAGCGGCGCTGGAATCGCACGATTGGATCGGCCCACACGTCCGACATGTCCACACTGGCACCTGTATGACCATGATGATTTGGTTTTGTTAGTTTATAGTGGTTTTTATGTGTAATTTTATTTTATTATTTTATTTCTGTTAATTAAGTTCAGTTTGAGTGCACAATAATTAATCAAAATGTGAATTGAATTCATAATTTGAAGCAAATCTGAATTGATTACAGATATTTGTAATCAGTATATTTCCTTTCATCAAATTCTGTGAAGTCATTGATTTTGTTTTTTATGTATTTCAGTATATTTGTTACAATTACCTTAATCACATTACATATTGCATTTCATTATGGCCCGGTATATAATTAACTACTGTACAATTATTTATTACTTTAAATATTGTTATGATATTTTTTATAAATAAGACAATAATCAATATTTGTTTAAATATAATAAACAATGAATAGTTGTAAAGCTAATAACATTTGTTGATACAGTGATCAAAATTAATTGCATAAAACAAATCAAAATTAGTCTCAAACATGATATTGAATTATCGGTAACATTACAATGGAGTACATAAAAACCCATACAAATAGTATCCCATACAGATGCTATCAATCATATTATGTATGTTTATTGCAAAAAAGCATGAGTTTCTATAAATGAAACAATCTTTTAGTTTTGTCTATAAATACAAAAGTTATTTCAATTTTCAAATCCATTATAAAAACAATAATGACAATTGGATTATAAAAACATTCATTACTTTAACAATTGAAAAGTTGAGCATAAAATAGGATTACTGGTGTTTGGTTGGGCATGAACTTGACCTAAACATACCTGGCCTACCTGTGCTCTCCCACATTAATTGTTTCATTATATCGGGTTATATATAGCAACTTATATTTAAAAAGTAGAGATACTGTGCAATGTATGCCAAAACTATGATTGAATTGAAATAATAAATGCAAATATTTTTGTTGAAATCTCCCATTGAATTCATAATTGATTTAAAATAATAATAAATATTTGATGTTTTAATATAAAACGTGAACATTTTTCTCATTAATTCATTAATTATTATTCTTATATTTTTTAACATAAATAAAAATCTATTTTTAAAAGCATTCAAAATTAATTGCATTTTATTATTGTTTAATTGTATAAGTTTATATTTAAATAACTTTAATGAATGATTAGTTAATTTATTTACTCTATTTTAAAAAATAAAGTTTCATTTTATTTTTAATTAAACAATATTTGTATATATTTTACATTAAAAACAAATCAAATTTTGTTTTTAAACTTATTTGAAATTCAAAGTGTGATTTCATATCCAATTATTGATTTGATTTGCATTGCATTGCATTGTATTATAAGTGACTTATAAAACAATCACAATAACCAGTCTTCGTATGAATTGATGGCTATTATGAATACAAATAATATATACAAAACGAGTGGAGATTTGTGGGAAAATTCTTTAAAAATAGTGTCAATTATTATTCAAAAAAATGAAAAGAAATGAAAACATAAATAATACTAAAGAAGAAACTCTTTCTCCGTTAAAAACTTGCATAAAATCTTTGATAACAAAAATAAAATCCTCACAAACTTTGTCCTCAATAACCAGAAAAGGATAGCATTTATTAATATAATATATTTTTATAATAGTTAAGTATTTTATTTTTTTTTTGATGTTTTGCTTATAATTATGCAGAGAAATGGAAAATTGTATTCAATCTCTCCTATCATTGTTCACCAAAAATACACACAATTTAAGTATAAATCACAGAAATTTATTTATAAATAGCTTTGATTTTATGCCCATTTGATCGATGTTTGCGGCGTTTTGTATATAATGTTATGTTTTGTTGCGAAAACATTTGCAATTCTTTACATAACATACATAATAAGGAGTTTAACTGATTGTATGTTAATCTCGAGTGTATTTCTAAATAAAAATTATGTTTTAATTTATTTTTTTCAGACAATGAGATAAATTGAGGAGAAATGGACGGCACATACAGTTAATGGTTAATCAGTTATATCCCTATTTAAACACCCACTGATGAGTGGGGCCGATAAGGGAGGGCCCAAAAGTGGCACTTATGTGATGGTATAAGCAGATTATGAATTTCACTTTAAATTCATTTTATAAAAAAAACACTAATAATTATTAAGCATATAATTGGGTCAAAGGATCGATCAATAATTCAAACACCAAAATCAAAGACACGATTTTTTAGTATAAATTTTCACCGAAAAAAATTGTACGGATTCTTAAAAAAATGTGTGGCAATAAACCGGACATCAGGGTATGTCTAGGGGTGTAATGAGTGATGCGGTAATGAATGTCCAAACCTTTATGTCTGACGTCTTTGTGTTTCTTAAGCAAAAGCCAACCCATGTGTGAGAAGAAGAAGCCCCGGTTGGCGTTGTGGGGGTCGGCGTTGGTCTCACTGTATTTGTGGTGAACCCTATGGTCTCGACTCCACTCGTAGATGTCGTTTTGTAGGGCCATTGTGTTGGCAAACGCTAATATTAGCCTATGATTTATATGGAGATAACATTACATTATTGTTATCAACATTTCTGTTGTGTTAAATAAAAGGATGAGAGAGAGAGAGAGAGAGAGAGAGAGAGAGAGAG